GCCTTTAAAACTACCAAAATTCTCCAATTATTACCAAGAACAAGACCTGGCTGTATGGACTAAAGTCCTTTGCCTTTCCCATTAGGGATAAATTTGTCGTCAACCCTTATCTCATTACTGAAGTGAAGTCTTTGTTGTACCAATTGGATTATCAGTTATAACTTACGTTAAATAATAAAATCTTATTAATTATATTGGGGCACAATTATATTAAGGTATAGCAAAAGTCACGTGTCAACCTAAAGAAATATGGTAAGTATATATTTTACTTTTTTACAATTTGATTTGGTTAGTTTTTCCTTCTATCTTCTTTAGCGGAGATAATAAAAACAATATTTTTTACAACTTTCCTGCTCTCCTATATAATTTAATCAGTATTTTTCCCGATGTTGTCCAAAAATTTATTCGAATTATATGATAATAATTAGTAATTCGAATATTGTATATACGAGTACATAGAGTTGAATAACCATGTTAGAGTTGAATAACCATGTAATTAAAAAAAAACTCCAGTTTGTAGGGCCGACAAAAGCCTTCCTTCAAATTCGACACTTAAATAATTTAATAATTTATTAGGTTTATTATATTTTATTATTATTTTTTGATTATTTCATAGGTTTTTAGGAAAACTGGCGCTAAGCAGATTCCCGTATGTCAAATCTAATACGACCTACCCATATAAATATAAAATATAGTATGAAATATGTTTATACACATCGATAAATTACCTTAATCTTAAGAATCAGATGTTCTTCAATCCATCGTCTGGCAAGTAAATAAGTTCGGTCGATCTATGTATCGGCACAGTTTCGTGCCGGCATTTGCGCAATAGGCCGCAACTCCGCGCGTTCTATGACTAACTATAAGGTAAATTTTTAAAATTAACATTTATTTACAATATTTAAATTTGAATAAAATCATCGGATATAAATGTGAATTTATTGACAATACTTAAGACGATCTATTCGCGTTAACAGCCGTCAAAGGACATTTGTAAGTTTATATTACAATATTGTTTCCTTTTGGTTGTATTAGACCATAGAGATGTGTTGTGATCCTGATTTTGTTTTGATTGTATTAATTTTAAAATTTACTTAATTATTACTATAAACACCTGTGATTCGTAATGTTTCGTTTTCCTACGGATAATATTTTTTATACTACAATACTACTTACTAAATAATTGTCTTTTTTATAATTTTGTATTCGTTTTGAGGTTAAGTTCCCTTTGTCCGCGTGCAAATAGAAAAGCGTAGTTATAACCCCTAATATATTTATGTTTGTATCTTTATTAAAGACTTTGAACATATACTGTTGTGGTAGAATGACAACCGCTGTGGAAATCGTCTGCTCCACAGCATAATGCTGAGCCAGGGCCAGTTACAACCACAACACACACACATTACACACTTAAAATTTTCTTTTTCTCGTTTTCTTTTTTTTATTATTATTATTATAGTGTGTGTTTCTGTGGGTGTGTTTCGTTAGTAATAAATGTAATGTCTATATCTGTGTCTTTATACAGTTAAGGCATTGCTACACAAAATGGTTATATTGATTGTACATCATATACGTCGTCGGGCATTTAGGCAGTTTTATTTTTAAATATTTCAAACGTTTGCCTTACAATATGAGTATTGTAGGAACTATTGTTTTAAAACCACTTTGCAATTTTTTTATCAACACAAATATTTGAGAACTAAATAATTGATTATATTTGCAGTCTTTTGTTCAGCAAAAAGACCACAAAACTGTTAAAAGAATTGAATTAAATAGAAAAATTAATTATTCACATAAACAGTACATCGTCATATTGTATTCTTATGGAAAGTACCAAAATTTACTTAACGAATCTACAATTCATATATAAATAAGTAATAAGTATTGTACCCTTACTAATTAGCTATGTTAACCATAATTTGAATATGTTAATTAAATTAATGTATGTATTTTACTGAAAAGGCCGGCAACGCACGCGAGCGCCTTCTGGCAATGTGAGTGTCCATGGGCGGCATTATCACTTAACATCAGTTGAGCCTCCTACCCGTTTGTTAAAAAATGTAAGTTCTGTACTGTTTGCAGATGTTCTTCCTTTCATGAGATTGATTAATGTTCAGTTCAATATATCTCTATATTCAATTAAAATTGTCGTAAGTAATAGAGAATGTGGCAGGCGCATTTCTTTTTCTATCATTGAGTTGTCGAAGTCCGAGATCCGAATTCTGTGCGTAATTTTTTTTCTTATTAGCTTCGCCTGTAAGGATAGCGTTTATGATTTCTTCGTATATTATTTGACCGGGTGTCAATTCAAGAAGTCATTAAAATTTTAAAGCTTTAATCTTTTAAATAATATAAGTAATAGGCGGTTTAAAATTGACTTCAAAAAACCTCTGGAGAAGGTTCAAGATTGCTAAATTTTAAATTGACATTTAAATAAAATTTATCATTGTCACACAACCGTATAAGAGAACATATGTTTCGTTCTCTTTCAATATTCTAATAATAGTAGTCTCTATAAATATATACGTATATAAAATTCCCGTGTCACAATGTTCGTTCTTATGCAAATTTTTTTGCATATTCAATAAGTCTGAGAACCCCTAAGTGATAAGGGGTGTCGACTCCAAAAAAAATTTATTTTTATTTTTTATGATACAGCATACAAAAATACATACAACCCCTAATTTTCACCCCTCTAGGATCAACCCCAATTTTTCATTATAGTAGATAGTTATTTTTATTGAACTAAAAATATGTTTCCTAGAAATAATATACATGGCAAAACAAATGTTTGCCGGGTCAGCTAGTATATTTATATAATTCATTTCCAATAATAATCTTAGACGGAAGATTAAATTGTAAGTCGTTATACAATCAATTTCTTCTGATGGCCAAGGTAATCCTCTAATTTGCAATTCATGAGTAATAAAAAATTGAATATAATCAATAGAATTAGACAAACACAATAAAAATCATTGAAATTAACGAATATTCACATCGATAAAGATATTTACGATCAAAATATTATATATAATTACAAAGTTTTGCTTAAATGCCCAAAACTTGTATTAATATATGCGGCTTTGAGGTATTTTTTTCGTTTTGTCCGTTATGTCATCGTCGAATTCAGAGACGTGTTAAGTATGTACTGACGCGTATTATGTACTATTACGCGTTTTGCGTACAAACATCCGTCTACTGAAGAAGTTATGGTCATAAATATTTGCGTTTGTATATAGCATACAATATATAATATTTATAGCTGTGCCATATTTACGTTGTTATGGTGTTCACTGTTAAGTCTTCAGCTTTTTAATATCAGTTTGGAATTCGAATAAAGTTTCTTTATGACTAATCTCTTAGACGACAAAGGTCAAAATAATCACAAAAAGAATTCAAACGAAATAATAAGTAATATAACTACAGTTCCGGTGCCAAAAACAAGTAATGTGCAGAAGTCATAGATTCTACTTGTCATAAAGAATGATCCACGCGGTTACGGGATTATAAGCTCAGTCAGGCACAGGATAACATTTTAAAAAGCTTTATGTGCTTTATACTTTGTGACGTATATTTTTTTATTTTTATCTACAATAACTACTACCTACCACTTTTTCTCACAGACACCCGTACCATCTGCGACTTAGGAAATTTTATATGATATCACTGTACGATCGGAGATCTTTAGCCGGTGTTACGTTTTTATACAAATTGCTAAATAATGAAACACAGAGCAGTGACCTCTTAAAGGACATTAACCCGTTCCCAAGGTCTAAAATCAGCAAAATTTTCCAAATTTCATCTGCAAAAACCAACCTAGGAGTTCAGACACCTCTCTTACAAATCTTCGCGATTATAACGGATTGAACAGTACTTATCCGGAGCTGGATATATTTGGTAGTGGGCTGATCGGTTTTAGAGAAAGCATGGTTAAGTGCCTAATGCCGCTGTTTTGCTGGTAATTTTTTTCTGCTTAACAAAAATGTCTGATATTTTTATTATATCTTGTATGTATGTTAATTTTAACAAACATTTATGTTTCCCTAAATTGTCATATATAAAACCGTTTGTAACATATACCGTAGATATAGTATTATGTATGATGTGATAAAATTTATAACATACAAACACTACAAAATAAATTAATGAAAGCACTATTTAGTTACAATTCAAAACAACTATATGTTTATAGCACCTGTATCTTAATTAAAAAATTTAAATAACTCCCTCCATAGTAGCTTATCATTTTAAAAAATCAAACACCACTACACGCAATACTCGTCGAGCGAGATTGCTTATCTTTTTTTTATATATAATAGGGGGGCAAACGAGCTTGCGGGACGACCAAAAAGGGGGTCTTCGCAGCCCATAGACACCCATTTTTAGTGGGTGCGTTGCCGGCCTTTGAGGGAGGAGTACACTCGATTTTTAAACATTTGGAGGTCGTATCTCTGAGGGAAGACCCCCACCGGGAGTCTATTCCACAGTTCGCTAGTTCGCATAAAAATGCCTTGTGAAACGGACCGTGGAAGACCTCCAACCATCAAGATGATGTTGGTGAAATTTAGAGCTCGTACGGCTCGTACAGTTTTGAAAAGAGGCAGGCCCTCCAGCCATCAACCCAAACAATTCTTCCGAACACTCTCCGTAGTATACTTTGAAGAAAACGCAAAGACACGCAATGTCTCTGCGTTATCTTGCCGAAGCCGCGTACAAATTATTTGAAGAAGTCTATTAAGTATGAGAGTGTGCAATTATTTAATCAATTACCGTCTATAATTCGTAATATTAGCGCGTTTAACCAATTCAAAAGGGCATTAAAGATACATATCAGAATGAACCTAGTAGATTAAAATTGGGACGGCTGATGGCGACGTGTATCTCGTTCGTATATACATATTAAGTTTCTCATGAAAATAAAATACATTCCTTTTGTAATGAGAAATAAAGTTCTTCAAACATTTTGAATAAATAATTAACTATATGTTTTCAATTTCAGAATGGTGTTCACTAAAGTACTAATTATATTATCCATAATAACAATATTGTCAAGAAATGTAAATGGAGTCGATAAATATACTGATGAGAACAGACCCTACGAGTTTGGTTTCACCATAGATGGTGAACAGCATCGGCATGAGAAAAAAGGTAGTTCCTAATTTTTAAGAATTTTACAACCTTTAACTTCTAAAAATCCGTCTTCAGTGACACCGCTACAAAATTAGAAAAAATGCTTCAAACATTAGACAGGGAAAGTAAAAAAGTCGGGCTTTACATGAATACCACAAAAACAAGAATCTTATCCAATAGCGTGTGCCAGCCAATCAAAGTCGACAGTAAACCTATAGAATATGTTAATAACTATGTATATATAGGAAAACAAGTATCTTTCGATAAGAACAGCAGTGAAAACGAAGTAGATAGAAGAATAAACGTGACTTGGAAGAAATACTGGACCTACAAGGAAATTCTGAAAGGAAACTACAGTCTACAACACAAGAAGATAATGATGGATTCAAATATTTTACCTTGTCTTACATACGCAAGTCAGACGTGGGTTTTCAGCAAGAAAACAACTAGAAAAATCCTGTCTTGCCAGCATGCAATGGAAAGAAACATCCAAAGTTGAGGAGAATAAACAAAATAAAAAATGTTGACATCCGTAACAAAAACCAAACTTACAGATGCACTTGAACAAGCTCTAAGGCTTAAATGGAAATGGGCAGGTCATATTGCTAGAGCGCGGGATAAAAGATGGACACTAGAAATAACAAAATGGACTGGACCTACTGGAAAGAGATGTGTAGGACGACAAAGGAAAAGATGGACAGATGACATTGTAGAACTAGCCGGCGAAAACTGGATGAATGTTGCTCAAAACAAAGAGAAATGGAAAAATATGGAGGAGGCTTTTACCCTAAAAGGGGCCATACAAAAACTAGACCACTAAAAAATTAAGAATAAATCTAACTTAAATTTTGTTTAAAACTCATACTAACTTAACTAATACTAATTTCTAAGGAATGTAAACTAATTAATTGTTGTATGGATTAATAAAGCTTTAATAATAATAATAAATAACTTCTAAAAAAATTATAACTTAGCGATGGTAGAGTAGATTATATTTTTAATAGCCTATAACTGATGGGCACCAGTTGGAGTGCCAATTTGACGGCTAGCTTACGCTACCGTGTGGATTACAAAAACAAAACAAATGGTGCGCGAATACATATCACAACCGATCCGTCAAGCGTACAGCGCATCCGCAGATCGTAGTTAGATACTCTAGAGCACTGTTTCCCAACGTGCGGCCCACGCCCCACAGGGGGACAATTTGATTGCTAAGAGGGCAATTCGAAAATAAACTCGAAGTTTTTCACTATGTTGTGAAAACTTACCGTGTTTTGTTAACAATTTCCTCGTGATTTCTTCCTTAAACTTGTCACTTGAGTTTCTTAAGTGAACATTTTAATTTTTAATATTAAAAATTATGTATGTTGCATAGAGAGATATGACACAAAAAAGGTTGGGAAACACTGCACTAGAGTCTCAAACTCTAGAATCATTGTCTAGAGTCTAGACTAAGATTTAAAATAACTGCAGTAAGTATAGGAGGCATAGTTAGTTGCAAGCCTTAATTTAGGTATTTTAAACTAGTGTTTATAATATATGACTATTTTATACTATTACGCCTTTAGTACACCTACGCAATCGCATGCGGCAGCGAAACGACGAAAAAACTGTAAGTTGTATGGCAACGTTTCGCATGTGTTTTGTCTCGCTCTAATATATAGCTAGATGAAATAGTTGCGTCCTTGTCGGTATTGTTTCGCAAGTAACTGCGAAATGGCTGTTACACAGACGCAGACGTTTCGCTAGTAAAGTTTCGCATCGCAAGGCGTCACCACGCGTTCTGTCAGTGAGGACAGAATTTCGCACAATGGAAGCCGAAAATATTGAATTATTATTGAATTTGATTCGAAATTATCCCGAATTATATTTAGTTGGGCATGTTGATTACAAAATCCTCTTCAGAATCTGAAAGCGACGACTGGGACGACTCAGATGACATTCTGAAACGACGTCTGCACCTACAGCATACGAAAGCTACAATGACATATCCTTGCGAAAAACCTGCAGTGTACTAACGTTCCGCAGATATTTCGCTACCGCAATTATTTCGCAAAGATTCGCAGCCGCATACGAACGCGTAGGTGTACTAAAGGCGTTAATACTTTATTCTCATTTCGCGTAAACAAAAGGGTCGGTGTAAACGCAAGACTCTAAGTATTTAAAGTTCTTTATATTTAAAATTCTAATCTAATAATGAAAATAATAACTGTGTATTAAATTACAATTTTAAAGCTAAACTGTTTGTAAATGTAACTAATTGACAATAATTAATCACATCTGTTTTTAAATCCAATCAAATTTGTTAATAATTAAAGTTGATCAATAAATTATAGTAGATTACTTCAATTCGCGTAGATTTTTTAACATTTTCCTGTCTATGTATTTTATACATATTAGGGACTTTGCTCACGTATCACGTGTTTTAACGTAAAAATTACAGGTTTCTATACTAACGGAGTATATCGGAACTGTTAAAGTTTTTATTACAAAGATTAATCTGTTTATTCATTCAAATTAATCTGAATCTGTCAAATGAATCTGTTTAGCTTATAATCCACATCTCATAAATCCAGTCCGTTATTTCTATGTCTCGAAGGTAATTCATAAAGTTGTATTAATGACGAAATTTCCTAAGCAGGCAAATCACGGCATATTAAAAATATTTTTCTTATGCTAAGTGGAGGATTTCAGTTTGTATTCTAAAGTACGAAATATTCACGAGTTTATAATCGAGTATATTATTCTCGTTATCTGGGCAATTAAATAATATTTTTTTCAGATAATTGACAGTCTATTAATATTTTTCTTGCTTTTAGAATTTGCAATAAACCAACAATGTGTTTTCAGATGAAAACGGGATAATAATGGGAGAGTTTGGATTCATCACGGCGGATGGAGTATACCACGTGACAGTCTATGCAACCGACGAAAATGGCGGCTTCAAAATATTGTCTATGAAAAATATACGCGTTAAGCCATGTAAGTCCATAATGCTGTTTGATAAAACTGCTGTTAAACAACCATCTCTATAGACAACCAACAATTGTCCTAATCGAATTCATATAATAATAAATTTATTTCAATAATCAGACCACATATCGCCTGTATGACAGAGTAATGTTTCTGAAATCACTGTTTAAAAATATTTAAATTTTGTCATATGTCATTCATATTATGTTAATAATTAAATCTATGTTCACTCGCATCAATGTTTAATGGTATTATAATGTCTACGAGCAAAGCTTGTTAACTTACCCTGTGCTAACAAGAGTTTTATATAAAAATTTCAGATCCTGGAACTGCTACTCAAAATTCACGGACTGGTCATTCGTTGGCTCTAACAAGCACTCCAAAAACTCCATCAAGTCCAGTTGAAACAAATGCAGCGCCTTACAAAGATACGCCGCTATTACGAACGTCGCTTTCTTCATCAATTGAAAGCAATAACCATCCAAACATTGAAGAATCAAAAATCGAAAACAGTCCAAAGCCATCATTGCAAATAGTAAAACAGCCAGCTGCACCTATACAGGCCTGCTCTCATTGTAGTTTACCAACAACTACTACAGTTGCACCAAGAATTGATCCACCAACTATCAATCAACAAAATCCATATAACTCTCAAGTTAATCAAGAAGGTAAAATAAACAACAGTCCAGATGACAAGAAATATAATCAGTTTACGAATCAAGCCACACAAAACTACCAACCACAATCAGCTCAAGAACCGCAGACAAAACTCCTAAATAGTTACCAAGGAAGCTCTCAAGCGACACCTGAAGTTTCAAATCAAGGTCTAAATAGAAGAGTAGAATTACCACAGCAAGCATTAACTCCCCCAAATAACCCTGGTCAACAAAACTACAATAAAAATCAAGGAACATCCTACGAAAATTCACAAAATGATAACAGGTCGCAACAAAATATTGGATCAAATAACAATTATGATAATACAGACCAAGTTTCAAATAATCCATCAATTAATGTCCTTCGATCTGGATTTAATACTCAAAATCCGGAAATAAGTATTCCAAATAGAGAAATTGACCTTCCTCTTGGTAATTCATATGAGGGTAATCCACAAATACCACAGAATTACGCACTAAGTCAAATTGTCTCAAACTCACCAAGTCAATCAAATGAGCGTAGCCCGAAGAGTTACGAACCAAGTATAGGAGTACCTCAAAATACTGTAGGAGTACCTCAAAGCACTGTAGGTGGTGTAAATCTAAATGAATACGATACAACAAACTTGGAGCCTCCAAAATCGCCTAAACTACTATCAGCTCAAATGCAAATAGTTGACAAAAACACGGATATTTATCACAAAAATCCTGGTGAAAAAGATGGACTCCCAGAGGGTGTTACAAAAGATTATATGATGGGGGTGTTATACGTTTTCAACTACACGGTTGGTTTTCATGGACACTATGAAAAGGGATTTGCGGATGGTTCAAAGGAAGGATACTACTACGTGACAGGTAGAAACGGAGTCAGAACACGGGTTGATTACGAAGCTGATGAAAAAGGTTTCCGGCCTAAGATTACCGAAGAGGTGCTTGATTTAATTTCTGATGAAGTACCAAAACCTGAGACGGAGAAAGAACCACAGTACGGACTTAAAAGCTATGAATTCAAATGGCTTTATTTCCCAGTAGGCTCAAAACAAAGATAAAAACGTCTGAAGACTGACCTTGTTCCACTGTGTTCTTTAGTTTACATAAAAATAAATAAAATCACTGCCATAAATTAAATTAAATTAAAATAACTAATATAATCCCATATGAATAGGATATTAATGTCAATTATATTCGAGTAAGAGTTTATTAACTACGACACGACTTTACTCTACTGGATACAAAATATTACATCATAATTATATATTTTAATGAAAAGCTGGCCGTAGAATAATTTTTAATAAATACGAATATGGACCGTTTTAATTTAAATTCTTGTGATTTTATTGTAATCAGAATGGTTCTCCTCATTTGTTTACAGTGCAAAATTGTACGCCTATTTATTATACAACGCAATTGGTACTAACTGGTTTTTGCTGTTTATAAATTGTAGGCTTAAATTTAATTAAATTCACGAATAGAAGATATGATACAAGTATTTAATATAAAACTACAGTATATTATAAGGTGATAAAAACAATTATCAAATGAATCCATTTTTATACGTTTTTGACTTGAATACTTCACCAGCGATGTATCTATGGCTAGTTAAATTTTATCTTGTAAAAGGCAATTGCTTAAATATTAATTTCTATTTATATATTGAAGGCATTTTTAAGTGAGTATACACTAAAAATAAAAATATAATAAGTAGGATCTCCTTAATTTAGAGTCAAAACTGTAATAAAATAAAATATATTTAAATGCACAGAAAAATGTTTAATTGATCAGTTCTAATACAGTATGCTTTTTATTCGAAGTAAAAGATAAGAAGACGAGAAAATTCACAGAAAAGTTACCAAACCATAAGTATAAATAATATATGAATACGCTACAGAGAAAATAGTTTGTAGTCGATACTAAACTAGAGCTAATACAATATCATGAAGACTTAAAGACCGATTTTCTATCTAAAAAATTGACCTTGGTATTGTGGGTCAACGGTTCATTTGACCTGATCTGCAACAGTATGGACAATAAATCATTGCATAAGACCGATGAATGAGATAGTACGGTTGATAGCGCGTACTTTTGGCGGGAAATCTGTAGCAGTAACAGCAGAGCCGGCGCGTGCGGTACACGCGTTCGAAATTCAAATCCAAGCCCGATGCGATCGCGAACGCGACTTTTTGTCTCTTAATCTTTTTGTTCTAACAATTTGTTTAAATGGAAGTATTGAGGACGCACCTCATTTCCTATTGTTGCGATTCTCTTTTACATGCTGTGAATATTCTTTGTTAGCTTACAATAGCTGTTAGTTCTACTTTCGGAAATTTTAAATGCAAGCAGCCCCTGTGAATTTAAACGTCGTTCTATTTGTGAACTAGTCACCGACGGAGGCTGAGATTTAAGAGGTTTGTATATTATTCAGTAAAATAATATTAACCATAAGTGAGACTAATTCTGCTAATTTATTACTCATAATTATTTCAAAGCTACGTAAATTGCCAAAATAAAAAAGGACGGCAAAAACTTTCGCTAATAAGTGAGCAATATTATAAAACATAATTTATTTTATCATTAAGAATAATAAGCAATGTTTTCATATTTATCATAGTTTATTTAATTTATATTGGCAATTTACAACATTGTTTAGATATGGTGCGTGATTATAATCTTAAGTAGTTTTTGTATCTAAGATAGATTCTATAGGAATATAATGTCTGTAACCTATGGATAAAAATCTATGGATTATTGAACATGGCGCATCTTGATCTGTCTATTCCCAGAGATAACACGCAGTAAGCAACATAACAGTTGCAGAACTGAGTATGTCGACGAGGTGTGGGACAACATAAAGCATATGGGGAGAAATACGCTGTGCCAAAAATCAATCTTGAACTTTAAGAAAAACACCTTTTGTATGGAAATTAAAGTTTACAATAATTTACCAAAAGAATTAAAAAATCTTCCGGCTAGAGTCTTTAAAAAGCGACTTGGTGTATTACTTTGGAAAAAAAAATCAATAAATGATTATTTGCGTGAGACACTGTAGTTGATATAAATTTAATAAGGTATGATATGATATGTACGATACAAATAATATAAGAATTGACCAATTCATATGAGTAATAATGTAAAAAGTAAAATTCCTTTAAAGACAAATTTGCGCGCCATAGTGTGTGGCAGAATATGTGAACTTACGATTGTACCACATCATACATTTTTGTACCATATTCTTGCAATAAATTATTATTATTATATATTTTATTCATCAAACCCACTCGTTATCACAAAGACCCTGCCTGTCAATGTCAAAACTTGAACCTGTCATTATTAGCGTATGTTATATCACTGCGCTGAAATGCGAAGGTCTCAATTTGCAGGCCTAGGAAGTGGCCTTAGTTCCTATTATAATAAATGTAATACGTAATAATTTAACTCAATAGCAATAGACAAAATAAAATAACAACTAGTCTGTGACATAATATTAATGTGTAATCTGTTTTTAATAGTTTAATATATAGGTACGAGTTTATTTTTAATATGAAAACTTCAAAAAAGGTTTTTTTATTGGAATTACTCAAACAATCAAAACATTTGATTTGACAAGAATCCTAAAAAATCCTTGAACGAATTCGATGCCGAAAAGTGAAAATTATTTTTATAAGATTTTGCTTCGCGTCAAAGAAAATAATTTTACAAAACACACGAATTAAATTTGCGTAAAAGCACACCAACTACAACCTTCTAAAATTACACCATTGTCGCTGAAAACATGTTGTATTATACATTCTTAAAAGGGTGATTTTAAACTTTCTGGCTCTACTACATCTTCTATAGGTCTACCAGAATCTGATGGCAAAAAAAAAGTTTAAAAATTAGCGGTTTTCATATATGGCAAAAAAAGAGAAATTTCATCTGTCAACTGAAATTTCAAGGAATTGTTTTTGGTTTGGCTTCAAATTTCCTTTAAAAAGTGATGAAAATGTCGAAGAAACCTCTTCGATCGCAACCTATACATATTGTTTTCAATGTTTATCAAAGAATACGTCTTGATCAACAAGATGCAGATTAGGGAATGCAATCCCGACTCGTGATCGTAAATTCGAGATCCCGCGGGATTAGAAATATCAATCCCGAGATTTTCGAGATCTCGTCATGTTTAAAAAAATGTGAATTTCACATGATTGAATATGATGAAAACTGCTTGTTTGTCATAATGAGGTTAATTAAAACAAAATATTATTTGAAAGAAAACAAAGGCCTTTAGTACTAACTTAATAATTAACAGTTTTAGGAACTTAACATAATGAAAACAAAAGAAGCTATTATTTAAGGATATTAAAAAGTAGTACATTTTGAAAGTAACTTGTTTAAAAAAAAGTGTATCAAGAGTGTTATCTGATAACCGGCATCTAATGTTCGTTGCGATGTACCCAGCTGCTGAGAATGCTTACTCCAACTCAACACTGGTTGGCAACAGCGTGAATAAGCAATTATATTATATAAACTGAAAAAATCGCCCCCTTGTTCCTCCACACTCAAAAAATCCATTTATTTTTGTATTACTGACTCTAATTTGTCTAAGCTAGCGTTTCGGAGAGTTTCTTCTAATTCCTCTTGAAGTGATGTATTAGTTTGTGTAGCAGTAGAATTTATACATATTTAAATTCTCTGCAATCATAGAAAGTGGCAAGTGATCTTCGTTTAATACTATGTATTAATTTCTACTTGTTCCTACTACTCTCTATTAATCTCTATAATAGTGTGATTATATTTTTTGATTTCTTCGATTTAGATATTTGCTTGGCAATTGGAAAGTCTCATTGCCTTTCCATTGCTCCAAATCATCTTGAAAATTATTCGGATTTTTTAGATTTTTTATCGAAGGGACCAACTTTTCAGAGAGAGTAGTTTCTAGGTCTTCTAGCTTTCGAATAACGAAACGCAACGTATGTTCTGCACTAACTAAATCAGTATCTCCCAATCCCGTCAATCTCGAACGGGATCTCGTCATATTATGCTTCGGGATTGATCCCGAAAAATGACACGGGATCTCGCGAGATCAGAATCCCGCGGGATCGGGATTGCATTCCCTAATGCAGATACATACACAATCATCGATATTGAGCCACGTGCAAGCGTTGACTGGTTAGTAGGAATGACACGTCTTGATACTTTGGTTTATGGGATTTTTCGTGTGTATTATATTATGAACATATACTAAACTTTGGTTTATTTCAGGGGTTTCTTATACTACAAATAAACTTGGATAGTTTTGATTTAGAATTGATCAGAAACAAGATAAATGAGTTTTACACTGTTTCTTTCTCTCAAATAGGGATCGATGAATGGCGAAAATCTTGTGAACATATAATAAAAATTGAAAATCAGTTCATAGAACAAGATCGGTTAATTAAGATGCAGGAGGAAAGGTTTAATACATCAATTAATTCAAGTAATTCAAGAAGTATTTTTTTTAGTTTGAGCAAGCGAACTATAAAAATACATATCGAGAGCTTCAGTTAATTTTTAACTAAGGTTAAAATAACCGTACTACATAATGCTTAATTCATTTCCTATCAATTAATAACATGCATTTTGAAAATTATAACACCGAAATATAACCATAAAGTGTATACAGATTAATTAAGTGTAATAACATACAAATCACTTCCTTCCGTTGACCAATTAATTTTAAACGAATAATTGCCTAAGCGTGACAATGACGCAGACACGTTTAACAGTTCTGCTTGACCGACTGCACAAATAGAATTAATTATCTCGAAAAGCCATAACCTAAATTCACAGAATCATTGTCTCTTAATAAAAATTATATTTTACACCATGTTTTTAAACTCACCCCAAACTTTCACTTGTTATAATCGTGGCATCATGGTGTTGGCCTCGTGGCTTCACTGTGCGACTTTCATAGGTAGTAGATTCTATTCCGGGCTGTGCACCAATGGACTTTCTATCTATGTGCGAATTTAACATTCGCTTGAACGGTGGAAACATCGTGAAGAAACCGGCTTGCTTTAGACCCATATAAAGT